CAACACATCCCAAACACACACACACACACACACACACACACACACACACACACACTCCAACACATCCCAAACAAAAATCCACCTCGTTTTCTAGGCTGTATTCTAACAGACTTCAATTCAGTAGTTTCGAGGATCTGAATGTTTAGAATGTTCCCTAGGGAATGCCACTGCCCAGTGAGTACAGGCAATGACAGGTATGAGCTAAAACCAGGGAACCTCAATTATACCCAATTATGTGGACTAAGGACATTGCTATTGTTTAGTTCCTTCTGTGCTAAGAGAGGCCAATTATACTCCTTTTTTCTTATTTACAGCAGCTAAAAGAGAAATTAAACAATGGGTCAGAGTTGATCTGGCAAAAGCCTAACGTCTCATCCAGTGTAAGAAGGGGCTCCAAGAGTCTATCTATACCTTAATCACAACAGAGCTTCTCTCATGTGTCCCCTGGTGATTTTGGGTCTGGAATGAATTACAAACCAGTTCCCTGAGGCTCACTCCCTTCGGATTCAGTTACCAGATTAATCTTCACATCCTTCCCTCCATCATGGATTTAGAAAAATCCTCACATACAATCTGAACACCTGGTCTTAGCTGCTCCCAGATCTTGTATTTCTCCATTTAATAGGCAAGGTTTCAGATTCCAATCCTCACCACGTCCTTCTTGGAAAACCCATCCCCAAACGGGTGCAGATAGAGGACACACAAACTGAACCCTAACACTCATAATCCCAATACCAGCCGCCCTTTCTGCCTCGTGTGCCCTTCCTTCGTGTTTTCATTCACTTGCTCACCTCTTTCAGTCTTTACTTAAATGTCACCTTATTTGAGATCTTTTCCACAAAATTTAAAATGTCACTCCCTCCCCAGTGCTGTGGGCACCATCCTGATTCAATCTTTGCTGTCTCCTTCACTTTCAGAACACTTCCTGCTGCCTGGTAGGAGCTCAGTCCCCACTGGTTGCACAAATCCATGTATCTGGCTTGTATCTTTTGGTCCATGTATATCCTTGGATCTCTTTGGTCCCTACTTCTGCCCCTTGTCCAGCACTGGCTGTGGTCTACCAGCTGGCCACACTTTTTATACAGGACGAGAGTCATCCCAGGAGCCAGAGGTGGTAAGTGTTAAAGCCTCACTCTACTGCTTATTAGCTGTGCAAGCCTCAGTAATTCCCTTAACTTCTCTGAACTGCAGTGCCTACTTACACCTGAAAAATGGAGATAATGATACCTACTTTCCAAAGCTGAGTGAGAGTTAGAAATGATGCATGGGACCTGCATTTCCATCAGTTTATCCTCCCTCAGTGACTTTCATGATGGAGGCCATTCTGCTATTATTTCCAGTACCATCAGGGTCACCCATGGTGGGACCCAGGAGCTTCCGTGGACCTTCCAGACTAACACAGACTAGAAAGAAAGACTTGGTGATCTACTTCCAAAAAATGAAGCCATGAAAACTCTACAGATGGCTACAGAATGTGGCCTGCTGGAGGAACAGAAAAGCCCAGGGGTTGGAAGGCACTCAGAACAACAAGTGACTACACCAACATCCACAAGCATGAAGATGGGTTGCCATGAATCCAAGTTGACTTGGGGGCAACTAGCAACAACCATTCACTTCATGAATCACGGTGCTTGCTCGGCACCCTGTATTTAGCAGGGGGAGTCCAGTTCTGCTCAAAGTAAGGCCAGCACAGGTTCACAACATCTTCTTTAAGCACCTTGGACTTGAAACGCCAACTCCCACCCACGTGCTGTTCACAGACACCAGAGTCGGTCACTAATCTTACCTTGGTGGCAATGGCAGAAACAGCAGCCGTCCTTTTTGCAGTTATAACATTTCCATCCATGACCTTGGAGAGAAAGGAAACACTGAGACACTTAAGCTGAGAGGAGCATCTCTCAAAGAGTAGCCCTCAAAAGTTCTATCACATCTTACAAGGACTCTGGGCTTGGTGTCTGATCTGGACCCAATCATTCCACTTAATGAGACTCACAGTTTGAACAGATAGCTTACTCTCTAAGACCTGAGTCCCTCACCTGTGAAGATAAAACCAACCTTGCAGAAGGTTCTTAGAAGAATTAAATGCACTGACAAATAGGAAAATAGCATATACCAAGTCCCCATGAAGAACTGCTTGTTTCCTTTTCTTGCGCTGGGATTCTTTGGTCACTGAGTGAATAAGAAACTTGAGAGCTAGGATTGAACTCTTCTGTGCTATTGTGGGCTTTAGTATAAATTCTGACTTCCAGAGGTCTTAGAAGATAGAGTACAATGGTCCTAAAGAGTTTCCTGGGCTATAATATTTATGGAAGCATCACCCAGACTTTCCTCCTACAGAGCTCCTGGTGGGTTCAAAACACTGAGTTTTCAATTAGCAGTCAAGCACTTCACCACTGTGGTTCCAGGGCTCCCAAAATTGTCCCTTTGGTGGTTCTCAGCTTCCACTGAGAATACAGACACACTCAACCCTTGGAATGACTGAGTCTGAATCACTAGGGGTAAGACCGAAACTGGTTTTCAAAAGGTCCCAGGTCATTCTGATGTACCACAAAGATGAATAATTAAAATGTGGCTAATATCCACCCTTTGCAATATTCTCCTCCTCTCAGGAGTTACTCATCTCAATAGACCCTCTCTAGCAAGGTATCTTTTTTTTTCCATTTTACAGATGAGGAATTGACTCACTTAGCTACTCAAAGCCTTTGAGTTGTGGTGCTGGAGAAGAGTATTGAACATACTGTTGTTCACTAAGAGAACAAACAGGTTTGTCCTGGAGAGGGTGAAACCAAAGCTGCTTCTTTGAGGCAAGGATTTTTGAAGCTCTGACTCACATACTTTGGGCAGGTAGCCAGGAGGGACTAGTCCTTGGAAAAAGACTTCATGCTTGGAAGGGTGGGGGGACAGCACAGGAGAGGAAGACTCCGGATGAAATGGATTGACGCAGTAACAGGGGTAATGGGAGTAGGTGTGTTGGAGATAGTGAGACTGGATCAGGATAGGGCAAGATTCAGAGCTATTGTACACAGGGTCACTAGGGGTTGTAGGTGACTTGATGGCACATCACAACTACAGCTACTGAGAAGATCTAAAGCTCTGACAGGTGGTTTCAAAGTCTGGTTGGTCCCACTTCTTAGGGATCTGCTGTTGGCAGGCAGTATGGACAAGTTGGCCAAAGCTAGAGACTCTTCCTAGAGGACTAATGAACAGTCAGATTCCTTGGGAACTGGAAATTCAGGGAGAGATAGAAGGGAGCTGTAAGGATTCAGGGAAGGAACAAGTGGGATGGAGAATCTCTCACAATGTTTCAAAGGTCTGATCTCAGCACCAGGCTGGGGTCACAGGGCACAGGAGTTCAGAAAATAAACTCCAAAGTAGACCTAAGGATGCTGGGTTTTTTCATTAAGCCAACTGTGTGAAATTAAGCAAAGTAGCTCTACTACCTGGAGCCTCAGGGAGCTCAACAGAAACGGAAGGCTGTCAGAATTGCATGAGGTCAGCGTCTCCTGTCTAGCACGTGATCAAAACTCAGCATTTTGTTAGTTATCACTAAGTCAACTTCAACGGAACAACAGATCAAAACCCCGTCTCCTGTAGCGCCATCCTCACAATCTCCCATGCTCAAGCCCACTGTCACAGTCACCATGTCAATTCATCTCATTCAAGTTTCTTCTCTGACCCATGATGCCTTTTTCTAAGGTCTGGTACCTCATGACAAGATGCTCAAAGTATGTGTGATGAAGTTTCACCATACACTCCATGAGCCGCAGTTTCAAAAGCAAATTAGAATGTGAAGAATTTATTAGACTTTTTTCCTTTTTAAAAAATTCTATTTTATTCTGGTTTATGTAGAAAGTTCATATACATTGTTTTTCACACCAGACCTTTTCCCTTTTCTTTATTTTTTTTTTTTTAGCTCACCACTTCAAAATGAAGGCTGCATAGTGGAGTGGACTTAGGGGCAGGGATTGTATAACAATGAAAGAATTTTTCTTTTACTTTCCAAAGAGGAGAACGAATTGGGGGGAATGGGATTGGCAGGGAGAAAAGTGCAACAATGAAGGAATGGAAATCCAAAGTCTCTGTAAGCTTTCATTAAAATGAATAAAAAGATATAAAAAAAAATAAGAAAACTCACCAAAATGAAAATGCTGACCTCTTTTTTTTAAAAAAAATAGCAAAAACTTAATCCCATAGAGATAAATATTATATAAGACCATTCTTGTAGAAGGAGTCTGAGGACCCAAGGGGGTGGGTGGAAGCACAGGGCTGATGATGGGGGGTCAGGCGATAATCACAGGGTCACACAGTTTAATGGGAGGAGGGAGAAGGAAGTGAAGAAAAATGGAAAAGCTCCAGTGTGAAAAACAATGTATACAAGCTTTGTAAATAAAACCAGTATAATTTTTTTAAAGTTTAAAAAAGAAAAATAATGTAAAATAGTTAAAAATATTACTAAAGACCCTTAAAATTAAAAAAAAAGCTAATGAGTCCTGGACATAAATTGAATAGTTAAAAGCCCAGTCATGACATGTAAACCAGCTATGGAAACCTGGGCCATTTGGGCATCCATAAAATCAGGGTTATACACACCTGATGGACAGGTTATACATATTAAGAGACTTAATACATAAAAAGTGTTTAGAACACATAGTACGTGCCTACACAGTGTAAGTGTTCACTATAAGGGAGTTACTGTGATTTAGTCAGGATATGACGATTAGAAGGAGCTGTATTGGGAACTGAACTGCTAGCCCAAAGATTGTGCCTCCATGGCAATTTGAATCCATGAGAGAAAGATGGGCAATTTCCTTCCTTATGATTCACAGCCCTGGGAATGCAATGGTCAATTAGGAGTTGGAAAGCATTTTATGAGACCATGATTAGATATTAAAACAGATCACTGAGTACCCCTTAGAAATGACTTCCCGGGGTTTACAGAACACTCTTCGTTTGAACAGATGCATATTTCCACATTGTCCAGCAATTGAAACAGCAGTGGGAGCTGGGGCGGGGTTCTGCATCATCAGGCAACCCTGGAAACACGCACAGTCACGTACAACCTTGACTTCCGGAAGGCACGGCATGGTCACTAATCAAACTCACAGGAAACTAAGTTCTGAACCTACTGCTTGGTCACCCCCCTCCTCGTTAAAACAGAGAGATGCTCACCGCCAGCAGGGATCCATTGCTGGGCTCGAAGAGTAGCACGGTGGCCTGATGGGAAGGGACAGTGGAGGTGGTGCTGTGACCCTCGTAGAAGGTGACCAGCTTGGTGGTTAGCGCGTCCTCAGCTGCACTGTAGGCGGGCATGACGCCCAGGAAGCTACAGGGAGAAAGGAAGACGTTTCAATCCCTTCCCGGAAATTCTGGCACGTCTCCTTACACTTTTCTGTTCTCTTTCCTCATCACTGTCTTGCTGGCCCCTCCCTCCCCCTTCCCGGCGCTCTTCCCTCATGCAAATACACAATATTATTCCAGAGTCTGGTTTGGGATGACAGAAACCATGAACTAACAGCCCTGCCACTTACTAGCTATGTAAACCCGGGTAAATCACTTCTCTGAATCCCAGTTTTTCCACCAGTGAGTTGAGCCCTGGTAGGAGCTTTGGTGACCTAAAGGTAAAGTGTTGCACTGCCAACTCAAAGATTAGTGGTTCGCGTCTGCCAGCTGCTCTGTGGGAGAAAGGTGAGCAATCTCTTCCTATGCTATTTACAGCCTCTGAAAAACCGCTTGGAGGGCCAGCTGCGTCAGTTCTGACTCAGGAGCAAAGTGGGAGAAAATGGTGTATCAAAACCCATGTGGCTAGCATGTTGAATTAAACATGGTACAATAACTACAATAACTGGCTGATTAAGTGGTAAGGAATTGCGCTGGCAACCCAAAGGTATGCGGTTCGAATCCACTAACGGCTCTAAGGGAGAAAGATGGGCAATCTCTTTCTGGAGGGTCAGCTTTGGGTCGGTTCAGGGCACACCACGACCTGTACAGCGCTCACTTAGCACCAGAGGGGGTATATATATATATATCGATTAGTAAACCATGACTAGTAATGATTAATGATCACACCTTCCTTTCTCCCAGTGCCTCCCTTCCTCCTCCCCAGTTTCTCCAGCCCCTGGCCCCAGGCTTCCTCACTCACCCCCGGTGGTTGGCCACTGGCACCACGGTGCGCACCGGCTGCACCACCCCGCCATCGGGGCCGCTGGAGAAGTTGGCCAGAGCCGCTTCCAGAGGCGGGATGAGTTGGCTGGAGCTGCGGAGGTGGCTCTCCACCTCGGCCGCACTCAGGAACGCGGGCGCCGAGCTCATGTCGCCGCCTGCCTTCTAGCCTCAGCTCGGGCGCTGCGCTCGCGAAGTCCGGGCTGCGCTGTAATTTATGAGCGCGCGGGGAGCCACCAGCGGGCGCGCGCTCCAGCCCCCGGGAGAGAGGGGGCGGGCAACCCCGCCAACCCAGCCCCCGGCCGGCCAGCCTGGCTCCACCCACGCCAGCCCGCGGTGGGGGGGAGCCCGCGGGCGGCCTCTTCACACCAATTCTCGGAAACTGGAGCCGAGGTTGCAAGCTAGGAGTTGGTGCTCTTAGACCCACAGTCTAAATTCCTGTAATTAGATGCAACCAGGCTCCTTGCAAGAAAGGCTGATAAAGAACTTTTGGCGACTCATCTGCCCTACCACCTCCCTCCCGCATTTGCTATCTATGTTGCCCTCCTTGGGAAAGAAGAGACTGGGAGATGGGGCAAACGATGGCGGGGGTTTCCTAGTCTCTTAAATGATTGCTTGTTGCTGGGAGATCTTAGATGAAAGGAAGCAGAGGCTTATTATAAACTTTTTCTTTTCAATTCTGTCCCCACCTGGCGACTCTTATCTGGCTGGTGATTGCTTTGAGGTCATAGTTTCAACCCCAGGGTACCTAATCTAATTAATTGTTAGCAAGTCCTTAGCAAGTTCATGTTCCCAGGGCAAGGAGTAATGGCTGAGGGCATGCGAAGAGTCTAGATGCTTAAAATCACGTAGCTGATTTAACTCTGCAAACAGCTAGTACTTGAGATGAGGAACTAAGACCCTGTGCACTTGGGAAGGCAACTAGCAAAACAAGACAGAGCCAAAATAAAACAAGGTTGCTATTGTTATGCGCCTTGAGTTGGAACCAGCTCACGGCTGACCCTCCACTGGGTTTTCAAAGGCTGGAAAATCTTACAGGAGGAGATGAACTCTCTTTCTCCTATGGAGTGTGTTATTCTTGTCGTTGTCGTTATGTGTTGTGAGTCACCTGCAACTCATAGCGACCCTATCTATGTACAATAGTTCTGAAGCCTGCCCTTTCCTGAGCCAGTCTCACTAATTCTGAAACACTAAACCCCCAGTTGCCCCAGTTACAGTATCAGTCCATCTCATCCTGGGTCTTCATCTCCTGTGATGTTCCTCCACCCTTCCAAGCATTGTGTCCTTCTCCAAGGTGTGGTCTCTCCTGGCCACATGCCAAAGTATGTGAGAAGGAGCTTCAAAATCCTAGCTTCCAAGGAGAAACTTGGTTTTACCATCTCCAAGATAGACTTATTTGTTTTCTTGGCGCTCTATGGTGTGTTCAAGACTCTTTGCTGTCACCACAATTCAAAAGCATGGATTCTCCTTCTGTCATCCTTAGTCATTGTCCAGCTCTCTGATGCATAGTAAGTAATTGCGAAGACCATGGCCTGGATCAGGTGCACCTTAGTCTCTAGACTGACATCGTTGTTTTTCAGTTCTCTGGAGAGGTCCCTGATAGCACATTTCCCCAGTGCAATTACTGGATTGGAACTATATGCCTTTGAGTTGCCAGTACAACCTCTTACCCACTCTCCCTTAAACTTCTTACCACGGATCTCCTTTAATATAATATTAAGCAAATAATATAAATATAAACGCATTACCCTTGAGCAGACTGACCAACTCATAGTGACACTGGAGGACAGAGTAGAACTACTGTCATTATCAGGGGTTTTGTTTACCTGGATCCACAGTCAATACTAATGGAAGCAGCATTCAAAAACTCAACCAGGCAGTGTGGTTTTCAAAAACAAAAAACAAAAAAAACAACAACAAAACTCAACCAGGAGTGGGAGAGAAAGGAAAGATAAATTACTAACAAGCAGACACAGATTCACTTGGGTGCAGGGAAAGGCAATATACAAAAAGGAAAAAGTCAGCACCTGAAGGTAAAGGAAGACACCGGAAGAGCACAAGAATTCAAGACAATGAAGGCAAATACTAGTACACACATAGTCCTGCAGTCATAGAAATAGTGCTGCATATGAGTGGATTCATAGACAGACACACATGTTCAACAGGAGAGTGGGATAGCTAATGGGTCTATACCCACGAACATATGTAGGCTTGACAGAGGATGTTTCTACGTAAGTATTCAAAGTGCTATAAATATATCTATGAATATAGTCGGGTATCCCTCAAGTTATTATTAGGTAAGGTGGAAAAAGAATATGGAATGATGGTTGTTGTTGTTGAGTACCATTGAGGCAGAACCAGGTTTTCAGAGACTGCTTGGGAGAAGATCATCCTCCTCCCACCAAGCAGCTGGTGGATTTGAACCACATGCCTTCGGGATTGCAGTGCAGTTACTAGGCCACAAAAGCATACACTTGTCAAAGGAAGGAGAACAACTCTGAATCTATTTGTTACTTCTGTAATAGGGAAGTATCCTTCATCTGCTCCTTTTGTTAAAATCTTATCTGTTAGATATTGTTCTAAAGCTGAGCATCCAAATTAAGAGAGACTAGGAAGAAGGATTGGCCATCCACTTGCAAAAAAAAACAGGCCTTCAAAAACCCTATAGAGCAAAACAGAATTGTTGTGTAACATAGAGTTGGAACCAACCCATAGGTTTTCAGAGGTAGTTAATCACAAGGGAGGAGATTATCCATCCTTCTTCCACAGAGCAGCTGGTGATCTCAAACCACATTGTGCTTTCAGTATTACAGCGTAGCTTCTTGCCACTAGGCCACCAGAGCTCCTAAAACAGAGTACACAAGCAGATACGGCATCTGAGGCTGAGCCCTCGTATTGGGAAACACAATTGAAGAGGAATGGTTGTAAGCAGACACTATTGACTGGAACATAGAATGTGAGAAGCATCTTGTTGTTATGTGACATCAAGTTGTTTGCGACACTTAGTGACCCTATGTACAACAGCTCTGAACCTTGCTCTATCCTGAGCCAACCTTATTGTCTCTGACACACCTATCCCCATTATCTCAGTCACTGAATCAATCCATCTGATTGAAGGTCTTCTTCTCTTGCTCTGTCCCTCCGCTCTCCCAAACATGCTATCCCTCTCCAAGGACTGGTCTTTCCTTGCAACATGCCCAAAGTATGTCAGTCAAAGCTTCAGAATACTTACCTCCAAGGAACAGCCTGGTTTCACCCTCTCCTGGATGAACATGAATGTAGGAAAATTTGACATTGGCAAGAAAGAAATGGAACGCACATATATTGATGTACTAGGCTTGGTGAAATGAGGTGGATTGGCATGGGACATTTTGAGTCAGACAATCTCCTGACCTACTACAGTGGAGATGAAAAGATGAAGAAAAACGGGGTCACATTCATTGATAGTAAGGTTATTTCTAGATGCATCCTGAAATATAATGATATGAGTGACAGGATAATATCCATACACATAAAAGGAAGTCCGGTTAATACCACGGTCTTTCAGATATCTGCATCAACAACCAAAGCCAAAGAGGAAGAAATAGATTATTTCTACCAACTTTTGCAGTTGGAAACCGATTGAATATGCAACCAAGACACATTAATGATAGTGGGTGACTGGAATGCAAAAGTAGGAAACAGGGAAGAAGGATCAGTAGTTGGAAAGCATGGACTTGGTGAAATGAGCCTGGAGATGAAATGATAGAATTTTGTGCAATGATTTATTCATTACAAATACCTTTTACAAGAAACCTAAACAAGGGGAGCTCTGGTGGCCTAGTGGCAAGAAGCTGCACTGCAATCCCAGAGGCACACGGTTCAAATCCACCAGATGCTCTGCCGGGAAAAGGAGGGACAATCTCCTCCTGTACTAGTCAGATCTGATTTGACAGTACTCGCACATACACACACAAAATAATAAAATAATAATAAAAAACTTAAAAAAAAAAGAAACCTAAACAGCACTGTACACAAGGATTTTTTCACCTGGTGGCACACAAATAAATCAGATCTACAACATCTGTGGAAAGAATCACTGGAGAAGCTTAATATCAGCTGTGAAAACTAGGCGAGGTGCTGATTGTGGAACAGACCATCAACTACTCATATGCAAGTTCAAATAAAAGCTAAACAAAATTAAACCAAATCCACAAGAACTAAAATTTGACCTAGAGTCTATCTCACCTGAATTTAAAAATCACTTAAAAAACATGTTTGAGGCCTTGAACACTAATGAATGAAAATCAGATGAGCTTTGGGAGGATATCAAGAATATCATTCATGAAGAGAGCAAGAGGTCATTGCAAAGATAGAGGAGGAAGAAAAGATCGAGATGGATGTCAGTAAAGACTCTGAATATTGTAGTATAGTGCTGAGAAGCCAAAGTAAAGGGAAGGAATAAGGAAATGAAGGAGCTGAACAGAAGATTTCAAAGGGCAAATCGGGAAGACAAACTTGTGGCATAATTCTGAGAATGGGAACCCCAGAACACTTCATTGTACTTATGGCAAACCCCTACTTGGACCAGGAAGTGGTGGTTAGAACAGAGCAAGGGCACACTGCATGATTCAAAATCAGGAAAGGAGTACATCAGGGATGCATGTTATCCCCATACCTTATCCATCTATATGCAGCACAGATATTTCCGGAGGCTGGACTTTTTAATCAGGGAGCTCCCCCCCACTCTCTGTCCGCATGGGGTAGCCAGCCAACCATTAATGCATTTGACACATCAGTGTCACAGTGTTCAGCCTCACAGCAACCTCAAGTGACCTCAGTATGGCAACTTGTACACCAGGGCTATACGACCTAGAGGAATGTCTGAACAAAAACAATGAAAGACAGGCCCGAGGGCCGCGGATTAAAAGTCACCCACCTTCGGCTTGGTAGCATCGCTTTCTCTCCCCTGCGCCAGCTGATCTCTCTATGTTGATATTAATTGTTGTTAAGTGCCGCAGGCAACTCTTAGCGACCCTATGAAGGAGAGTCCTCAACCCTTGGGTGCCTTTCATCCTCTCTCCAGGTTCATAGTGTTTCCAGAGGCAAGCTATTATGGAAATGGATGCCACTCCTGCTTCCAAGCTTTTGTTTAACATAAAAATTGAATACTGTATTACTACTACTCATTGCTGTTGAGTTGGAATCTCAACACTGACCGTGCAGGGGGGTTTCAGAGCCTTTTAAT